ATCACCTCCCTTGACAATATTGGTTGATCGGTCATGGCTGTTTTGGATATTGCCAGCCATCTGGGCCTCTGCAATGAACTGGCAAAGTCTGCTGGGGGGCCCACGGGGAGCAGTTGCCAGGCACACAATCCATGGGCAAATTATCTGCATTAGTCCCGTCTCACACTGCTATAAAGAGCTACCTCTGACTGGAGTTTACGAAGAAAAGAGATTTCATTGACTCATGGTTCTACAGGCTTAACAGGAAGCATGACTGGGAGGCCTCAGAAAACTTGCAATCATGGCAGAAAGTGAAGGAAGCAAGCACCTTCTTCACATGGCAGCAGGAGAGAGAGAGAGTGAGGGGAACGTTTAAACCATCAGATCTCATGACAACTCACACACTATCATGAGAACAACATGGGCAAAATCTGCCCCCATGGGCCAATCACCTCCTACCAGATTCCTCCCCCAACATTGGGAATGACAATTCAACAAGAGATTTGGGTGGGGACACAGAGCCAAACCATACCACTGTCACAGAGAGAGGTGCAGGGTGTGTCCAGGAGGGAAGGAATGTTTCTAATAATTGTGCTGTGACTATAGGCACGCCCTGGGATTGTTTTAGACAGAAAGGCTGTATGGTCACCCCAAGCGTAGGGAACCACACAGCAGCAGCGGGAAACCAAAGTCCAGAAGGCCTACGGGACTGTCAAGGTCACACAGCTGCTGAGTGTAGAGCTGGCTTTGGACCTGGCTCATCTCCCAAATGCTAACCTGCTGTGCAGCCTCAGGCAGGTCCCCTCTTGCCTCTGGGTCTTCAGTTCCTCTCTATAAAACCAGAAGGTGTAGCTTAAGAAATTCTAATGACTTTGATAATACAGGTCTCTGTTCTTCACCCACTGGACTTTTCAAACACTTTGTAAAAGTCAGCCACTCAGCACCGGCTCCCTTTCTTCTCTCCCTGCCCTTCCTAGGGCTCCAAGGGAGGTCAGGCACAGGGATGAGGTGACACAGCTTTGGCATCTGGGTAGGCATGTCTGCTTGTGCAGGTTTAGTGACAGCTTTCTTGGGGACGCAGTAGCCGAGTCCTTGGTGGACGTGACCCTGGCACACTTCAGTGGAGAGGTCATGTCACTCCAACACTTCTCATCTGGCCTCGGGAAACTCAGGCCAGAGAAACTGTAACTCAGCCAGTCAAGCCAAGGCCTGGGGAGAAAACCTGAGGATGTTTCTGGGGGAAACGTTGACCAGGTTAGCAGGCTTCCTGGATGGGGCTGAGGCAGCAGGGAAAGCAAAAATGAGCCTGATCAGAAGCGTTCACAAGGTTGGGGCTACGGAGCCACAGTCCGGGCTTTTATCCCGTCTCCTGTTCTTTCTAGCTATGACATCGGGAGCAAGTAACTAAGTCTTTGTCCCTACGCAGGTAAGTTAGGAATTTATTCGGCGGCTACCAACAGAGATCTTAACAGCATCTTAAACATGGGGATATTTCTCTCTTACATGCTTCCACCATTCTGCTCTGCCATTCTTCCTGAGCACATAGATTTCACCTCAGGGTCCAAGATGACTGCATGTGCTCTGGCCATCACATCTTTATTCCAGGCAGCAGACAGGCAGGGAGAATAAAAAGGCACTCATATTCAGAGCTTTTCCAGGTGTCCCCTTTTAAGGACTTTTTCAGCAGTCCCCTTCACATTTTCTTTTATCTCATTGTCTAGAACTTATTCACATGGGTACGCCCCACTGCAAGGAAAGCTGATATGTGGTCTTGGCTTGGCATACTGATGCCCCCAATAATGTTGGGGTTCTGTTTCTAAAGGAAAAGATGAGAGTTGATGTTGGGTGGCAAACTTGCAATTTCTCCCCCAGGCAATTTTTCCATCTGTAAGTTTAGATTTATAACAGTTCCTACCTCATTCGGGTGTTGTATTCCGTTAAGGACTCAATAAACATTAGCTAAATTATTGTACATGAGGAGAAAATGAAATGCAAAAGGTAAACAATGTTGGCATTACGAGGAGCATCGTCCGGATATCACAGACTCTGGAATCCCTAAACCACACTTTAAGAACTGCTACCTTGACAATCACTTCATTCTTGGGCAGTCTGCTGGACAAGTCCTTGCATGACCTTGAAAGGACACAGCCATCCTTTTGCCCTTTACAAAGTTGGTATAATTTTTGCTGACACACATGACCTTGTTTCTTTGGAGGATCTTGCACCATCTGTAATGACGTTTTCTGTGTATGTCTTTGATTTTCCACCTTCCTTCTGGCAATGTAAGGCCATGAGGCCTTATCAGCCTTATAGAGCCAATCAAAGTTGACCTTATAAGGTCAACTTTGCCACTTATGGAGCCAAAGTTTTCCTTATAGCTTTGCCTCAGTGCCCAGCACATGGAAGGAGCATCACAGACATAAGCCTAACAGTGCCGAACTCTACCCAAGCCTTGTGCTCCTGGAGAACCGTGGAGTTTAAGAAATTCCTCCATCTGGCTGGGTGCAGTGGCTCATGCCTATAATCCCAGCACTTTGGGAGGCCAAGGCGGGCAGATTACCTGAGGTCAAGAGTTTGAGACCATCCTGGCCAACATGGTGAAACTCCACCTCTACTAAAAATACAAAAATTAGCCAGGCATGGTGGTACATGCCTGTAATCCCAGCTACTCGGGAGGCTGAGGCAGGAGAATTGCTTGAACCTGGGAGGTGGAGGTTGCAGTGAGCTGAGATTGTGCCACTGCACTCCAGCCTAAGTGACAGAACAAGACTCCATCTCAAAAAAAGAAATTCCTCCACCCTTTGTGTTCTAGAAGACACCTACTACAAAGAACCCTCCTTCTTCATATGACTTAGGTAAGACTCACAAGTGCCCTCCTGGTTTACCTATGACGAGGCCAGCCTCACACCCTCCAAATTCCCTTTCTTTTCTCATATATCATTAGTGGAACTGCTGGAGCCCAGCGATCAACGGGAACAAAATGCTTGCTAACCAAACACTGATGAGGCTTCTCTCTTCCCCCCAGCCCACTCAGTAAACCCGGGCTCACCACAGCCTGAGCCAGCATAAGCTCTTCCTGAGGCTTGGCTGGCCTCAGGTAGAACGTTCTCTGATCTACTCCCAGACCCCGCCACCCCTTCATCCCACTTCCCCACACCATGCTCTTTCTAGCTTTATTTACTCTTCGCTGTGAAAGAACTCTTTCTAACCCTTGAGACGTTGCAGAGCTTATGCTCAGCAGTTCTCCCCACTACTTAGTCCCTCCCTCCACCTCGAAATAATCTGTTGGAATAAACTTTATCCTTACTGAGTCTGGATTTGTTTTTTATTGGACACACTGGATGAATGGGACAATCATAGCTGATCAGAGAGCAGCAATACTAATCCAGCTTTGCAAATTCTGTTGTGACTTCTCTTGCCATTAGACACACTTTGAAATTCTGACTCAATTTGCCAAACCCACCAGGCCATGGCCAGGCACCTTGGGCCCAAAATACAGCTGATGGCTGACAGCCAGGACCCCGGAATAGGCATACCAGGATTCTGGCGCTCTCAACTAAGGATTTTAGTCCTTTGTCAGGGTGCATTTATTTTCCCCCAAGTGATATGCTTTTTAGTTTTGGTTTCCCTCCCTGGATCCTGGGTCAGATCACAGAACAGCTCTCCTACCAAGCCCAATATGGAATGAGCACTTCCAGATGCCGCCACTCAGCTGGGCCCTGGAAGTTATAGGGGGACAGGAGGATTCTGGCAATAAATGACAAGTAAGTGAACTGGGACATACTATGAAGAAACCATGTTCTCACAGAGCACCAAGGGAGCACCTACATATACCCAGTGGGCAGGGGAGGACTCACTGAGAAGACAACGCACTTTGAGGCCTGAGACTCAGACAGTCCAGTAATGTGAGGTTCTCCAGAGAGACAGAACTGATAGAAGATATCTATCTATCTACAGATAGGTACTCCAGAGAGACAGAACCAATAGGAGATACCTATCTATAGGTCCTCCAGAGAGACAGAATTGATAGGAGATATCTATCTAAAGATGGATAGTCAGGTCCTCTAGAGAGAAAACAGATAGGAGATATCTATCTATCTATCCATCTATCTACCTACCTACTGAGAGATTATCTATCTATGTCTATAATTTATCTTTCTAATCTATCTATTGATGGATAGGAGATATCCATCTATTTACTATCTATCCATCTATCTATAGATATAAATATTTATATCTACTTATATATAGAGAGAATGAGAGAAAGGAGAGGAGAACTGGCTTATGCAATCATGGAGACTGCAGGTCCCAGGACAGGCAGTCTGGAAGCTGGAGACCCTGGGATGCAGATGATATGGCTCAGTACAGGTCCAAAAACATCAGAACAGGGGAAGCTGATGATGTTGCTCTCATTCCAAGGCCAGAGTCCTGAGAGCCCTGGGGGTTAGGGGAGGGTGTGTAAGTCCTGGAGTCCAGATCATTTTGAGCTTTGCCCACAAAGATTAAGAATTTCACTTTTACTTTAAGTGGGTGTATTAGCCTCTTTTCACGCTGCTGATAAACACATAGGCAAGACTGGGCAAAGCAAAGAGGCTTAATGGACTCACAGTTCCAGGTGGCTGGGGAGGCCTCACAATAATGACTGAAGGTGAAAGGCGTGTCTCACGGGGCAGCAGACAGGAGAAGAAGAGAGCTTGTTCAGGGCAACTCCCCTGTATAAGATCATCAGATCTACTGAGACTTATTCACTCTCAGGAGAACAGCACAGAAAACACCCACCCCCATGATTCAATCACCTCCTGCTGGGTCTCTCCCACAACACGTGGGAATAGTGGGAGCCACAATTCGATGAGTTTTGAGTGGGGACACAGCCAAGCCACATCAGTGGGAAAGGGTTTGTAAGATCTTGTTTTAATGTTTTCTCTGTTGTTTATCTGATTGCAAGTGCGGGTTCACATCTTCAGCCTGTGGACCATTTGCATTGTTTGCTGAATTATCCGCTCTGTTCTCTCCCGACTTACCTACTGAGGTCTTAGCATCTTTCTTTTTCATATGAAGTCTCTCTCAGTGAAGGAGTTTAATCCTTTGTTGTGTTGCGTTTCTTTTCCCCTGGTTATCTGCTTTTTAATTTTGGTTTTCCGTTTTAAGTAGAAGCTCTAAACTTTGTCCCTTAGTGTGTGAGAATTCTTTCATCACTTTTAATCTTAAGATATCCTTGACCACCCGACATTTGATAAACATGACTTAAGTCTTCTTGGTCCCGGTTGTCCATGTTTTTCACGCGTGGATGTGTGTTTTCTTCTCGGAGTGGGGCAATGCCTCCCTGGTGCAGCCCTCAAAGGCCCAGGAGCGCAGATCCCGCCGCAGAAAGACCCCTTGCCCATCTGAGCCCAGCCAATGGCCCCTCCCCTGCAGGAGGGCGCGGGGGACCCCATGCTGCCGGAGTCCGCCCGGAGCCCCAGCTACAGATCATTACCCACAGGCGGGGTCAAAGGTCTCTTTACAGGCGAGAAAGCCCCGGCTCAGCAGAATGCCGCCCACTTTGGGAGGGAGGAGCTGAAGTGCTTCACTGCCCCGAGCAGACACGAAAACAAGTCAGAGCCCGCGGGCGTAGCCCTGGTAGGCGGGTGGGCGGGGCGAGGGCCAAGTCTGGGCCGCGGAGCACCGCCCTCCCCGCCCCTTCCCCGCCCCTTCCCCGCGGTCCCGATAAGAGCCCTCCGCGCAGCCCGGCTCGCTCCAGTGCCCGCCCACCGCTAATTTCATTGGTTGCCTCGCCAGTCCCGCCCCCAGCTGATGTTCGCAACCAATCCGCAGGCGCGGCGGCGGCGGCAGGTCGTGAGTCGCGGGTCGCGGGTCACAGGTGGCGGGTCGCGGCGGAGGCTGGGCGCTGAGGTACCGGGGCCTGGACTAGGGGGCCGCGGTCTGGCTGGGGAGCCGCGCGGGCTCATGGCGGTACGGCAGCCTGGCCTCGCTCGTCGGTTCGCGGGCGGGCAGTCCCTCCCCGGGCTCCTAGGGGACCCTGCAGCTGGAGGGGCGGTGACCGCGACTGTCGAGGGCTGGCCCCAGGTGGCTAGGGTTGGGGGTCAGAGGTCGGAGGTCCTGCCTTGTGGAATGTTAGGGCCCTGCCCGTGGAACCCTAGGGCCGGGCCGCGCCCCGTTTCCTGTCAGCTCCTCTAGAGGCGCCCCATCCTTTCGCAGAAGGGACTCGGAGGGAAGCGGGCTTGAGAGCGGCAGCTGCCCCGGAGCTCGGACGCGAAGGCCGGCCCCGTCCCCGGGCTGCCACCGAGGTCCTGCAGTTGACCCTCAGCCCCTCGAGGACCGCTGGCCGCCTCCCTCCTCCGGGCAGGCTCAGGAGTGAGCGGAGCAGGGTGTGGCCCGGTGGCCCCCGAGGGCGCGGGCGGTGAGTAGGGGTCGCGCTGGGGCCACAGGCTGTCCCCGCGTGGGCTGTTCCCGTGTGGCTCCGAAGCCAACTGTTTTTGAGGTTGTCAGTCTGCATGCTTGAGATTTCCTTTCTGGAATCTCACCCGAACAGTTTGGAGCGGGGAACGGGGCATTGTGGCTTTGGCTGTTGACTCAAGGTGAAAACAGAAAGCAGACGCGGGGATGCAGTGAACGCAGAGTGACCCTGAGCACACTGGGCAGTTTCCTCCGGTTGACAGGCATTCTTTCGCCGCTAGCTGGCCCCACTACACAGAGTTAAACTGTGTCCAAGTAAGAGCGGTTTAGTCCCATAGTTCTCAGCAAGTGTCCGTAGCGTTGACCTTCTTAGTGAAGACACTTTGCAAGGTGTGAAGTATTGAATAAAAAGTGCCTGTGCAGAGGTTCTGAGCGGGAGGCTCAGTGCACGGAGGCTGGCAGCAGCCCTTACTTTCCATTGCAAGATCTCAACGGCTTCTTTACCACCCTGAGACCAAAAGCCTTGGGTTTTGGGGAGATGGCTGTGGATGAGGAATGGGGCACAAGAAAGGAATTCTTTCATCTTCTGCATGAAACGTATGCAATTAGAGAAGACAGTGAAGAGTTTTGACTTTGCCTGTCGTCTTCCATCTCAGCCAGCAGAAGCACATTCTTTTTTTTTTTTTTTTTTTTTTGAGACGGAGATTTGCTCTTGTCACCCAGGCTGGAGTGCAGTGGCGCCATCTTGACTCACCGCAACGTCTGCTTCCTGGGTTCAAGCGATTCTCCTGCCTCAGCCTCCAGAGTAGCTGGGATTACAGGCTTGCGCCACCACACCTGGCTAATTTTGTATTTTTGGTAGAGAAGGGTTTTCTCCATGTTGGTCAGGCTGTTCTCGAACTTCTGACCTCAGGTGATCTGCCAACCTCTGCCTCCTGAAGTGCTGGGATCCCGGCCGCATATTCTTTTTTCTACTGATGGTATTTGTTGAGTATCCAGTGATTAGGGAAAGGAATAACAACAAGACACTTCTCTTTAAACAAGGTGATGGAGGGATGATGATGTCTGATGTGGAATTAACCCTCGTGTTTGGTTTTCAGTGAACATGAGGCACAATGAAGTGTCAGCCAAGACCTTCCAAGGCCCAGCTGTTGTCTGTCGGACTCCAACCAGCCACGTATACATGTTTAAGAATGGGGACGCGGGGGACTCCTCTGAGGAAGAGTCACACCATACGATTCTGCGGCCCCGGGGCAAGGAGCGCCAGAAGAGCGGTGTCTACCATCCTCATCAGGCAGGAGCAGGCGACATAGTCCTGCTGCAGCGGGAGCTGGCTCAGGAGGACAGCCTCAACAAGCTGGCTCTGCAGTACGGCTGCAAAGTAAGACGCCCTCAGTTGCTCTGCCCCACTCGGCTTCCAGGAACACAGGGAACTCACTGCAGGGTGGGGGTCCTTGTTGCCCTCCTTAACCCCACCAGGAGTGGCCTGCTGTAGCAGCCAAGGACTCCCCTATTCAGCCAGAATTGGAAGGCAGGTGGGAGTACCTTTAGTTCCAAACTCTGGCCCCCAAAGACAGAGGGTTACTGCATTTCCTTCTCTGCAGCCGACTTCTCCTCTTCCACTTTTCTCCACACTGAAATTCTGAACCCTTTTTTTCTTCCAAGCATATTTCATTTTCGACCTAATGGGGCTGGAGCTGGCAGGCAGAATTATCCCAGTGTCTATGGCATGCTTGCTTTTCTTGCTACTTTTATGTTTTCTGGACCTTTCTTGGTGGTAGCTGATTTGTAAAAATTTACCTTCTCTCTTAGAACTGCATGATCTCTTGTATGCTGCGAATCTATATAACACTGTTTTTCTCTTTAATTATGTTTTTAGCATTCAGAGTGATTAACAGTGGCCAAGTAAGTAGGAAAGTATTTATAGAATCGCTGCATTTTCTCCTAGGTTCTAACTATTTTGCTAACACCGTATGACAAATTTCTATGGCCTCTAAGGGTATGTAAGCTACTTAATTAAGAAAATCTTTTGCTCCTACAAGTGTCTTATCTAACAAGGTCCAAATGTGTAAAACATGTTGTGTGGGGTGTTGCAGTCTTTCCCAGGGAAATAAACAGGTTGGTCTCCAGGGACACTCAGTGGTGTTTAAATTGTGCTGACATTTCTATTTGGCTGTATAAGCAGCTTCTGTAGGCATACTGTATGGTTTATAGAACGTGAAGCCTGTCCTAGAAAGACTGGAATAGATGCAGTAGGCTTCTTGGTTTGGTGATGTCTAAATCTGTAAATATACAAATTCTTTGATAAGTGATCGGTTTTCCTATTTGAAGTAAATAAATTTGCTCTTAGTTTATTAAAGATAGTGACAGAAAGAGCTCAAGGGTCTCATGCATTAGTTTCAGGACGTAATAAATTAAAAAATGCCCCCTACCCTGATTCAATTGTGATAACAGCAGTTACTAAATAAGATAATGGAAATGACTGATGTGGATGAGATCTGTTGGCTGTATTCACTTTCTAGTTTAAGTGAACTTATGAATTAAAAGTTTAGAGTTCATCTCTGATGCTTTTGGAAAGTTTTCAAACTAGCTTGAGGGAGGAGTTACCCTTTGACTTAAAATTTTCCCTACTTCTTAAATCTTAGTGTTTGGTTATGAGAGGAGTTTGTCATGAACTTTTTGTTACTTGGTAAAACTCATAGCATTATTCTTTTCTCCTGACAGTTAAGTGCATTAGCCGTAGGACACTTTTATCTAAAAAATAAGTAAGTTAATATGCCCCACAGTGTTTCTGGGAAAGAATATGCTATGGGCTTATCTCTCACCTTTACTACTGGTAAACTGGATTCTGAGTGTGTCTGCAGAGCTGGCTGAGGCTGTGTTTGGTGAATGTTAACATCTCATAGCTACTTAGTTCTGGCATGAGAGGGAAGTCAAGCAGATGGGGGCACTGTTGCCTCAGAAGTTAAAGGTGGAAACAGCTGTAGCATTCATGTTAGTGCCACGGTGGTTTCACCTAAAAGCGTTTTGTTGCAGTCACACTTTAAACAGCTCAAGAAAGATCTCTTTTTCAAAGCTGATCTTAAATTGTTCAAACTTTTAAATCTTTAGGAATATCTGATTATTAAACTATATATTAAGGCTGAGTAAAAGCCAACAAGCAAAATTTCAGCCTCAGCTAACTTTGTGTATAGGTGCAGTTTTTCAGTCTTCATCAGATTCTTAAGTGAAGTGGGCTTGAATCGTCCGCCTGAAAGGTTAAGAGCCACTTTTTGGAATGTTATTGTTAAGGAGCCTCGCATATTTTGTGACGTTTGTCTTCATGCTTTCCTAGGTGGCAGATATCAAGAAAGCCAACAACTTCATCAGAGAACAAGACTTATATGCTTTGAAATCTATTAAAATTCCTGTGAAAAACCATGGGATCCTAACAGAGACCCACAAAGAACTCAAACCCCTTCTGAGCCCGTCTTCCGAGACCAGAGTGACGGTGGAACTGCCAGATGCAGACAGAGCAGCCACAGGCACTGATGCCCAAGCCAGTCAACTGACGGATTTCTTTAAGGGGATTGACCAGAATATTGAGCGTGCAGTGCAGTCAGAAATCTTTTTACATGAAAGTTACTGCATAGATGCCTCCCATCAGCCACTGCTCCCAGCTCCTCTGAAGACGCCAATGAATGGTGCAGACTGCGGCATTCAGTGGTGGAATGCTGTTTTCATCATGCTTCTAATTGGGATTGTCTTGCCTGTCTTTTATTTGGTCTATTTTACAATACAAGCTAGTGGTGAGACCCTTAATAGTTTGAACACAACTGTCGTCCCCAATGGCTCGATGGCAGTGGGTACAGTTCCAGGGCAAGCCCCCAGACTAGCAGTACCAGTGCCAACCATCACTTCTGCAGACAGCCAGTTCAGTCAGGCCAGCCAGGCAGGGAACTAAGCTTTGTTGAAGAATCAGCCCAGCTTTAGTAGTTGGCTACTGATGTGCATCAGGTGTCACTGGCGATGTCCTAGGGGTGCTGCTTTTGTTTCCTGGGAAGCATGGACACTTCAGAAGTCATTCAGTATTCTCGATTGCACTGGCCCTGTGAATGGCCCTGCCCACTCTAAGCCTGCAGGGTCTAAAACAGCAGTGACCTCAGCGTCTATCCAGAGAGGTGCAGCAAGAGAGCAATTTCCATGTGACAGATGGCCATTTCTTGAAGACATTTAGTGGACTGGCCATGTGTTCATAGCACTGTGTGGGCCCCCAAGTTGGACATACTTGGAGGGAAAGAAATGGCCTCCGACAAGGGACCTGCAGTGTGAGAGCACAGGTCACCTGGCTGTCACAGTTTCCTCACTTGCTGTGGAGTAGGGATTGGCTCTGAGGAGGAGTGTTCTCTGTCTCCCTGGCAAAGGTGCTATGGAATACCCCTGGCATGTCACCTTCTTTTTAGGGAGTGACAGTTACAGTTGTAACAAACCTCCTTCATATCGGCCCGCTCAGTTAGCCTTTTTGAGGCAATGCCATTTCTAGAGTTGAAAAGCCCTGAACCCAAACTGCTGCACTGGTGAATAAAGGGCATTCCTGCTCCTGTCCTTTTACAGCTGCTTAGTGTGACACACAGGCACCCCAGGCTGAGCACACACTGAGCTGTGCCCAGTTCTTCAGGAGCCTTCCCACGGTGTGGCTCCCTGGATTCTCCCAGTTGGCCTTCTTGGAAGGAGCTGTTGCTGGCCAGCGTTTGCAGGGGAGGATGAATGCCTGTCACTGAGGCTTTACAGTGGGTGGCCCCTGAAGCGGGGCGGTGGCCCCTGAAGCGGGGCAGTCACCAGGCTTGCGCTGAGAGCCACCGCCCCTGTGCGCACCTAACAGGGCGCGCTCCTGCTGATGCTTCCCTGGCTCAGTTCTTCGGATCTCCAGAGCAAGAAGGCCACTTAGTCCTTTTTCTCTGGGTGACATCCTAGAATAACACTATATACAATGTAGCTCACATTACAGGACCGAAGGCTTGATGGAGGGGCTAGAGGTGGCCCTTGTTGTGAAAGTCGATCAGAACACCTGAGGGAGGAAGGGGTCTGCAGTTTTCCAGGCCCTTCTCGCTGCTAAGGCTGCTGTGGTGCTGTAGATGGGCTGGGATTGCTGGGCAGAGGCTGCTACTGCTGGTGAGCTGGTCATGCCCTGTGTGGCATAGAAGGGTGGGAGGTGCTGGGGTGGCTGCTGGCCTGGCCTCCAGGAGTTCTGCACAGGAGGTAGACACTGCCCAGATGCTGGGTGGAGGGATAGCGATGGCCTTTGAAACTGGAGAGAGTTTCAAAGGTCTCACCATGGAAGAGTGATTTCTGATTTCTTTCCTTTCAGTTGTATGTGTGGAAAACAGCTGGCCCGGCTTCCATTAGCAAATTTAAATCATCCTCAGTATTAAATTAGAGGCCAGAATGATCTTCAGGATTAGAACAACTTCTGAATCTTTGCAGTAGGAAATGTTTTGATATGCAAGTGCTTTTCCAGCCAAACGTCTGTGCTCTCCATGTCACTGAGGGCCACAGTTTCCTCTGACATCTGTCACTGTCACTTCACCAGGCAGGTCTTGGAGTCCCATGGCAAAATCACTTTTGTCAGACAAAGAATTAATGTATCCTTTACTTTTCTCTGGAATAAAATCATTTCTTCTGTGAAGGAAAATTCATTTCCCCTTTTTATGTTATTTTAATTGTTTTGAAGACAGAGTCTCTATCCACCAGGCTGGAGTGCAGTAGTGCGATTGGCTCACTGTACCCTTCACCTCCAGGGTTCAGGTGATTCTCCTGCCTCAGCCTCCTGGGTCGCACATCACACGCCCAGCTAATTTTTTATTTTCGGTAGAGATGGGGTTTCACCATGTTGGCTAGGCTGATCTTGAACTCCTGACCTCAGGTTATCTGCCCACCTTGGCCTCCCAAAGTGCTGGGATTACAGAAGCAAGCCACTGCACCTGCCCCCACCTTTTAAGATTTAGGGATTGATAATTTAGCATTAAAAGATGTGGGATGCTGCTGGAGAAGATGGGAGGTGTCTGTCAGGATGAGGCCTGTGCCTGTCCCTGCACCTGGCGACCCGCTCAGGGTTTGTGCTATGCCCAAGGTTACCTAGGCAGGGGCAGGACAAAGTGGTAGCCAGTGCTGTATGGCTGATTGATCGCTGACTGATCTGTATACAGGCTTTAGCATTGCTTTATTAGGTGTACCTACGAAACACCACGATACTTACTGGTCCTTATGTTACTACGTTCCCGGGGTCTTTGGGAAGTGAATATTTTACAGAAATAGTTAATTTGCTTCCTAGTCTCCAGTCTTTTTGTTTGAACTATAGTGCTTAATGTTGAAGCCCAAGGAATCCCCACTGTCAAGCAAATAAAGCTTTAATTTTACTCTGGAGAGAGAAAGCTGCTGGGACTAGCAGTTGCTGCAGGGTCACCCAGAACTGCCACGGTCCAGCAGAGGTGAGGAAGGTGTGGCCTGGCCTAGGAGTGTGTTGGGGGGATGGTCAAGCTCTACCATGCAAGGCCTTCCAGGCTGCAGTGGGTGGAGTGTGGAGGGGAGGGTGGGAGGAGATGTGTCTGAAGTCATGGAATTAAAGCCACTTGGGGCTGGTGCAGTGGCTCATGCCCGTAATCGGGAGGCCGAGGTGGGTGGATCACTGGAGGTCAGGAGTTTGAGACCAGCCTGGCCAACATGGTGAAACCCTGTCTCTACTAAAAATACAAAAATTAGCTGGGCATGGTGGTGCAGAACTGCAGTCCTAGCTACTTGGGAGGCTGAGATAGGAGAATGGCTTGAACCCAAGAGGCAGAAGTTGCAGTGAGCTGAGATTGGGCCAAGATCTGGGAGACAAGGAAGACTCAGGAAAAAAAAAACAACACTGGAGACAGCAGAAGCCTGGGCTCCGCTGTAGGAAAGGCCCACAGGGCCATGACCATTTCTCTTTGGGAAAGACTGGGCTGCAACCCCAGGAGCAACAATTATATAAGCTGTGGTGCACCCTGGATGCCAGAGTGCTCCAAGAGCTTTATACGCTCGCTCACTTCACTCTCACTACCTTCCCATGAGCCAGGCACTTCTATCCTCATTTTAAAGATGGAAAAAGCAAGCTGCCTATGACCACACAGCTGGTAAATGGTAAACGGGGGTGCTTGGGAGCCTGTGATCTTAACCCTCTTAACCCCTTTCTGCCCTGCCCCCTGCTTGACAGTCACTGTGGGCCTTGGGGTAGGGCACCTATGGCATGATCCAGGCTCACAGAACATGGAGGATGTTCAAGGTCTCCAAGGCAGGGCTTCACAGGGGGACAGCAGACAGAAATGCTTCCTGGCCCCCTGGGGTACTGGCCTCGCAGTGATAAGAAAAGTTAGACCCATTGCCTGAATTGCAGTAACTAGAATCAGCATTTATCTGCCCATTTTCTTGGTGCAGAATCAACTGGATTTAGCCTCAGAACCAGTGATCCAGCTCCTTCGACTTTAAGAAACAAGAGTGACAGGAGAAGAGCCTCCCGTAGCTGCTTCCCTCCTAGCACTTAACACCTTGGGACTGCTCCTCCAAGCTTATTTGCAGAGGCCGGGTATGGCCTCAGGCCAGGCAGGGAAGGGGCTGGGGAGAGTGTGGATAGCATCCACTTTGCCTGTTCTCCACGTTTGGTTCAGAGGAGCTGACGCGAGGACAGGCACCCTCCCTGCTCCTGCACTGCCAGTCAGCCCCCACTGCCCCTGGAAAGACCAGTGTGGTGACAAAGTGCAGCTCCTGTGACTTGTACTCCTCCCCATTCCTGCTCAAAACTTGCAGAGAGAGACTGCCACCACAGGGTCAGCAAGAAGGCACGGAGTCCTACCACAACCTGGGGGAGGCTTTCCCATGTCTTTGGAAAACATTGCATATTGTACATGCCCATTTCACTACCCTGAATAAGGAACAAGTGCCACTTTCCATCTACTCATCCATAACCTTCCAGGACACCAATTATACCAAGAGGTGATGGGATAACATGACATGGCCCCTGCCCTCAAGGTGCTTATAACCTAGTGGGATAAGACCTACACTAGGGGCAGGCACAGTGGCTCATGCCTGTAATCCCAGCACTTTGGAAGGCCGAGAAAGGTGGACTGCTTGAGCCCAGGAGATTGAGACCAGCCTGGGAAAGATGGTGACACCCTGTCTGTGCCAAAAAATTACAAAAATGAGCCAGGCGTAGTAGTGTGCACCTGTAGTTCCCGCTACTTGGGAGGCTGAGGTGGGAGGATAGCTTGAGTCTGGGAGGTGGAGGTTAGATTGTGTTGCTCCACCCCAGCCTGGGCAGCAGAGCCAAACCCTGCCTCAGGAGACATAATAATTTTTTAAAAAGACCTATGTCAGAGTAGAAACACGGTAAAACAACGCTGTGCCCACAGAGGGAAATGGTGACAAGTGACTGATAAAGCGAGAAGGGCTTTCTAGAGGAGATGACATTTCCTCAGTGGACATCTGAAAGAAGACTGGGATTTAGAAATACGGCAGCGATGGTTCTTTTCAAAGAATCCTGTTCAGTGGGAGCGAAGGCCTAGAGGGACTATGCAGACGGAAAACTACGAATAGTCTGGCGGCCTGGCATGAAGGAAGGGTAAATGGAGCTGTGGGAAGAGGCTCCTGTACTAGTTTGAGGCCAGGTTCTAGGCAACCCTGAATTCCACATTTGAGTCATCTGGACAGGATTCGACAGACAGTGGGAAGCTATTGAAAGTCTCTGCGCAGTGGAGAATTGAGCACTAAAGTGAAGAATGGCAGCCACAGTTTTGGAGAGGCTCAGTGGGAGGAGTGGGGAACTTAAGAAGTGATTGTCTCAATCTGTACTCCTGGGGTTTAATTTCTAGAGGTGACTCGTGACAACATGGAGACATTGCTTCTTGCTGATGCCACTGCATGGCAAAAAAGTTTTATTACTTGCAATTCGCAAGAGAAGGGGGCACACCAGGCCCCACGGGGCCACATGGGGGATGCACCCATGTTGGGCAGGAGGCAGAAAGGAGCCAGGGGCATGCTCAGGCAAGAGCCTTCGTCATGTTTCTGTGGGAAAGAGAAGGCAGGGCAGGGAAAACAGGCTAGTCCTGGGAACAGCAGTCTGTCCCCAGTCAGCAAGACCCTCAGAGCCAGAGCATCAAGAATACAGAAGAAAAGAAGGAGCTACTACAATAAGGAGGAGGGACTAAAGTGGGCCCTGCGGGGAAGGGGTGCCAAGCAGACAGATGCAGAATCCGAGACAGCCCAGGACAGTGACGTGGCTCAGACCTGGCAAAGTGATTCTGACGAGCCTTGGTGTGGCTTTCATCACATTTCTGTTTGGGGGTCATTGTTCCTTCAATCTGTGGGTTTATATAGGTTCATCTAATTTGGACAGATTTTGGCCATTATTTCTTTGAAAACTTTTTCCTCATTATTTCCCTCCAATTATTTAGCTCATTTGTATTTTATTCATAGTTTTTGTTTTCTGTTTTATTTTGGATAGTTTCTATTGCTGTTTTCCTTTGCAGTGTCTGTCTAATCTACTACTAATTCCATTCAGTGCATCTTTTTTTTTTTTTTGAGACAGAGTCTTGCTCTGTCATCCAGGCTAGAGTACACTGGCGTGATCTCGGCTCACTGTATTCTCCACCTCCTGGGTTCAAGTGAATCTCCTGCCTCAGCTTTCCAAGTAGCTGGGATTACAGGCATGCACTACCATGCCTGGCTAATTTTTGTGTTTTTAATAGAGATGGGTTTTCGCCATGTTGCCCAGGCTGGTCTCGAACTGACCTCAAGTGGATCTGCCCGCCTTAGCCTCCCAAGGTGCTATGCCTGGCCCAGTGCATCTTTTACTATGGGTCTTTTTAATCTCTAAAGGTTCTATTTGTGCCTTTTTAATATCTTCTATTTCATCCTTGTGTTTATGTATTCTGACATGTGGAGTATATTTGTAATAGCTGTTTTAACATCCTTATCTGCGAATTGTCATTTATTCATCTGCCTCCCATTAGAGATTGTATGTTCTTGTTTTTCTGCAGGCCTGGTAATTTTTGGTTGCATGCTGGACATGGTGAATTTTCTGTCGTTGGATGCTGGCTTTTGTTGTCTTCCTTTAAGTAGTTTGTGCTTTGTTCTGGGGCATGGTTACTAGGAATCAGTTCCATCCTTCTGAGGCTTGCTCTTCTGCTTAGCAGGTGAAGAGCAGCCTGTAGTGAGGGCTCATTCGGCCCTGCTCCCCGGGCAATGCCTTCTGAAGACTTTTCAGTCCTGCTCCTGTGGCGAGGCCTTTTGAAGATTGTCCCAGTGCTGTGTGTGTTAGGAGGTCTCACCACCTAACACACAGCATTGATAACCTAGTTAATAACCACCAACAATCTCTCTGGTGGGAGCACAGATTATTCCTGGCCCTGGGTGAGCTTTGGGAATTGTCCCGCCTACTTTTTTCTCTTGGCTCTTTTCCTTGACTCTGTGATTTCCTCACATGCATGTACAGGCCAGTACTCAGCCAAAGACTTGGGGGAACCTCTGTCCAGCTTCCCCCTCCCCAGTATCGTGCCCCCACAAATTCTAGGTGCCTCAGCTTCCCTGAACTCCAAACTCCATCTCCTCAACTTGACCAGACCACCTGTCTCTGTCCTATGGCTTCAAACCCTCCAGGTGGTGAGCTGAGGCACT